ATGGGATGCTAGAAAAATACAACTGGACACTGGGACAGGAATTGGCAAAGATTTGTAATAGCTGCTAAGATGACTGGGATGTCTTACTCGTTCCACTGTTGATGGCCTATGGGACAGCAGAGCATGAAACCTCTGGATACACTCCAGCAAAGTTGATATTTGGTCGGGAACTTCGGTTGCCAGTGGATCTGTTAACAGGACGCTCACCTTATGAAGAGTTGCCTGAAAATGTGTCAGAATTTGTGAAAGTGTTATCGGAAAGGATGGATAATATTCACCATCAAGTGCATTCAAATTTGAAAACTTCTGCTGATTCGATGAAGCTATGTTATGATAAGAAGTCTACTGAAGTCAGCTTTGTACCAGGAGACAAGGTGTGATTGTATAATCCCAGGAAGACCAAAGGGAAGTCTACTAAGTTGTCTTCTCCATGGGAAGGCCCATATGACATAGTAGATCGTCTCTAAGACGTGACTTTTCGAATAAAATGTGGTCGGCGAGGTAACCCAAAAGTGGTGCATGACAACAGGCTTTGACGTTATAATTCACAACGAACGAACGATTCACATGCTTGACTCAGTTGTCGTATCTATCTCTGTCTGCAATTCAATTCCATTGTTGCCGTCAGTTCTTGGCGGTCTTATATACAAGGATACCATACATCTAGTAAACACTCGAGGCTTCACGAAGGGACATGAATTTTTCTAGAAGCTCATGACGTGTTATTAGGGTCACGTGACTTCCGCTGTCGTAACAATATCTTTCAGCGGAGGAGCAGTCGATAGGGCGTAAAACTGCTGAAAGATTGAAATGCTGCTATTCGAGGATCCCGAAGAGTTATGCTTAAAATGATTTGGGCAGTGATTACAAGAGATCTTCTTTAGAGTATAAATATTTGTACTTGTCAACACCTGCTCAAAGCCGTAGTCAGGCGAATAAAAACACAAATTCATAAAAACACTGTATGGGAGGGAATTTGTAGGGAGTATGATAACCAACCTTCATCTATAGTTGTTAATTTAGGCAACTGATTGATTAAAATATAAAAGTCAAGCATCTAGATATTACTTCTTTATTTATACATAACTTTTAGCTATAGATGAACATATGTCTTCTACATAATGAAGTTTCTTAAATGTGTTTGTATATATATACGCCTGTAATTTCTTTGCCCTACACCTGAAATGCTCATACTCTGCCCAATAATAATTCCATATGAAAAATCTGTATAGAATGTTTGTAGTTGAAAATTAAGATGAATACCCATCCGAAAGTAAATTGATAACAAATATTGTTTTGTTACTAATGCAACATACCCGTATAGAAAACAAAAATTGTATTGTGTTTCAACTGTTTGTTTGTAATTAAGCACAAAGCTATACAATGGACTATCTGTGCTCTGCCGTTCACGGGTATCGAAACTCGGATTCTAGCGTTGTAAGTCCGCAGACATACCGCTGTGCCATTGGAGGGGCGTGTTTCATATGCAATTATTTCTATTTTAACTCTGGTGACACCAGTGCTGGTATAATTCAAAATCCGACATTAACTCTACTGTCGGCTAATAAAAAACATATTTATTAAAACATAAACTCGTAATGTTCAAGTTTTATTACACAATTTGTAATCACGCTATTCCCTAATAAAGTTAAAAATCTGTATACAAGCTGTGTGTTAAAACACAATAATCTTACAATATATTTTTCTGTTTCCTTTTAGGCTGTTAAAGAAAATTGCATTCAATCTCCTAGTCTGCTGATACTTTGCAACCCGGATAACCCAAGTAAGTAACTTATTGATGATCGTCAAGATAGTGGTACTTTGTAACCCATAAAATTTGGGTAAGTACCCTAGTGTTGATTAAATTATATTAAAATGCTATTTTGTTGCCGTCCATGTTACCACATCCAGTCATACTCTATCTGACAACTGTGCATCTTGACAATAGCTCTGAAGGCCTAGTTTTTATTGTAAAAGCCCTCGTTGTAATGCTTTAATAGTTATAAGTTATAGGTGAGTCCTTGAGAAGGCATGCGGATAAGATAGTGTGTGAGGTAAATAGAGAGTAAAAAATTAGATTATGCTACCCAGGGGCACAGGTGGAGGATATAACCAACAGAGCAGGAGATATAATAAAAGGGGCTAGCAGAGATGCAGTTTTTGTTGTGTACATGGGGGCTAAATGTAGGGAAAGGTAGGTCAGAGGAGTTAATTAATAAGTACAGGTTGTTGTTAGAGACATTTAAAGAAATAGGCTTCAACTGAGGTTTGTCAAAGATACTGCCCAGAATTAACTATGGGTATGAAGTTATAAGTAGGTCACTTTGGCTAAATTCTAGGCTTACGATAGTATAAAGATGAGCAGATTGGCTAGTTGGACTTGTGGGATCAGTTTAATGGAAAAATGATATTTTTGGAATGGATGATTTATATTTAAATAGGATAGGGGCTGTCTTGTTTGCTAGGGCTATTAGCTCAACTGTAAGGGAAGTTTTAAACTAGGACTAGACTGTGGTGAGGGCCGGGATAAGCTAAATGCAAAAAAAAATATGAGGCAGAGAAAAGTTTAGCATAGGATATGAGTATAGAAGTAGTTATAAGGATAGACTTAATTATTACTATTGCAATGCTAGAAGTATAAGAAATAATATAAATGACTAGAGCACTGGTAGGAATGGGAGATTTTGATATAATGGAAATAACTGAAACATAGTTAACGTAGATGGTTTTGATGACAGAAATGTGTTTGAAATACAGGGTTATAGGCTATTTAATAGGAATAGAGTACTAAAGAGAAGGGGAGGAGTGGCTTTATATGTCAAATGTGAGTTACATCTTGTTGAACTTGAGGATATCAAAAATAATAGCAAGGAGGTTGAATCCATCTGGGTTTCTATTGGTGGAGACAATGGGAAACATTTTAGAGGGAATTTGTTACAGACCATCAAATGATGCTGAAGAAATTAGTGAGAAACTCTACAATGAGATTAAGATTTCAGCTATTAGTGATGTCATAATTATGTGTGATTTTAATTTCAGGCATATAGATTGGGGAATGCTAGAGTCAAACCGTGAGAGATGAAGGAATTTGAAAACTGTTCTGTATGGCTTTCTTCACCAATTGGTCAAGGAATCTACTATGCTATTTTAGATTTATTGTTAACTTCTAATAGAGAAATTGTTGAGAGGGTGAAAATCGGAGAACATCTGGGTGCAAGTGATCATTGCTCTAGTAGGATCAATGTTTTGCTGAATATAGAGATAAGAAATAATGTTATTTTGGTTACAAATTTAAAAAAGCAAATTTTGAAGGAATGCAACAATAATTACCTGTTGTGAATTTGGCAGCTGAGTTATTTGTAGACACAGATCAGATGTGGAAAATCTTTGACGATAAGTTTTAAATATTCAAGATAAACATATTCCTTATAGAAATAAAAGGGTAGCTGCAAGTAAAAAAACAGATTGGCTCACAATGAGTTTACAAGATATAATTAAAGAAACGCATCATAAATTTAAGATATTTAAATTGACTGGTATGACAGGAGACTTAGAAGATTATAAAAGATCAACAAAGTTGGTGAAACAGGAAATTAGGACATCACAAAGGATGTTTGACAAAAGGTTGGCTGAAAATGTAAAAATTAACAGTAAGGATTTCTTTAAATACATTAAGGGTAAAAAAAATGTTAGGATGGGGTAGGGTCCTTGAGGGATGATATAGGAAGGCTCGTATTTGATGATTATGATATGACTGGGTTATTAAATTTTGCTTTTTCTTCAGTTTTAACTAACGAAGATTTAAGTAGTATACTACATCTTGAATAGTTGAAAGTTGGAAACAAGATCAAACAAAATGACTGCATTAATTCTGAGCTTGTTAAGCAAAAATTGAGAAGTTTAAAGAATGATAAGACTCCTGGGCCAGATAATATTTCCCCAAGGATTTTAAAGGAGGTTAAGGATTGGATATGTGAGCCACTTGCTACTATCTTTTGTCATTACTTGAATAGTGGGCAGGTACCAGAGGATTGGAAGTTAGCTGATGTAACTCCTCTTTTCAAGGGAAGTGATAAAAATTGTCCAAGTAATTATAGACCCATTAATTTACACCAGTTGTAGGAAAAGTTTTAGAAAGTCTGAAAAAAGATGCTTTATAAAGTCATTTAACAAAGTTTAGAATTTTATTGGATAGTCAACATGGTTTCACTAAGGAAAAATATTGCCTTACAAATATTTTGACATTCTTTGAAAAGGTCACTGCTTATGTAGATTAGGGTAAGGGTGAAGATTTGGTGTATTTGGATTTTCAGAAAGCATTTGACAAGATGCCACATAAAAGGCTTGTAACAAAATTAGCTCTATAGGTATGGGGAATAAGTTAGTAAATTGGATAGAAGAGTGGCTGGATGGAAGAAAGCAGAGGGTTGTTACAAGTGAAGTTCAGTCAGACTGGATTAATGTCGCAAGTGGGGTACCTCAGGGCTCAGCCTTAGGACCTTTGCTCTTTTTGATTTATATAAATGACATAGATGAAGGAATGGTTAATAAATTAATAAAATGTGAAGATTATATTAAGGTCTTGGGTATTGCTAGCTGTGAAGAGGATGCTGCTGATTTAAAAAAGATATAGATCATTTATTAAGTTGAGTAAGTAAATGGCAAATGGGTTTTAATTATAATAAATGCAAGATAAAGCATGTGGGTTATCATAATTTGAATTATAAGTATAATTTGGATGGGAATAACATTAACAGTGTCATGACAAAAATGGATCTTGGTATTATAGTAGATAAGTCTCTAAAGCCATCTAAGCAGTGTGCTGTTGCTTGTGGTAGGGTAAATAAGAAATTTAGGATGTATCTACAGAAATTTTGAATACAAGTCTAAAGAAGTTATAATTTTATGGTATTGGTCATTGGAATATTGTGTTCAGTCTTGGGCTCCTTACCTTAGTAAAGACATTGAATTGTTGGAAAGGGTTCAGAGAATGGTTACCAGAATGGTGCCTGGGAGGGGAGGTTGTCATACGAGGAGAGGATCTGCCAAACTGTTTTCTATTGAAAAAGAAGAGTTAGAGGGGATCTGATTGAGGTATTTAAGATTGTAAAGGGAATTGATAGTGTTGATGCATCCTCTTAACAGTGAAAATAGTAGAAGTAGGGGACACAAATATATATATTGGCAAGGTAGGAGTCATCTTCAACTAATACAGTTTTATTTTTCTAACAGGATGGTTTGCCTTTGTATGTTGTAGATGCAGTGAGTTTAAG